ATACATTATTTTTAAAATTTTACTTTAAGTATATTAATTTCATTTATTTTTATATGACTTTATTCGTTTTTTGTCATTCCATTTTTTTCTTAATAAAATGTGCAATGTATCTATTTTTAAGTCCCTGTATTAAAATAATTCTCCTTACATCCAGCAACAAGTTGCCAGAGAAACTCAAAAATAACTTTTTTTCTAACCTAATATTTTAGGTTTTATGTAAATGGTTAACACAAAGTTTCTTAAATTTTATCATAAAAATATTGTAAAAAATCAACGATAAAAGTGATACTTCCAAGAACAGCTTAATTAAAATCTATCGTCCTAGTTAATCATTCTACACTGGTCTAAGAAATTAAGAGAATTCGAAGACTTGGTCTATATCTCTAGAACTACAGTACCAATTTCAATGAAATGTGATATGTACATACATTGATACAATACAAAACAAATAGCCATTCAGCAATTGTAATACACACGCATCATCGTGCGTAAAACTCGTTGGAGTCAGAAGGTATGAAACAGCGGTAGCAGAAAAAATACAAAAAAATGGGTTAATAGGAGCTAGGTATGGTTCCCTCTTACAGATATACAGGACTTGCAGTGCGATTTCATACTCGAAATAAGGCAGTTAATCATTTCCTGTGGGAATCGGTCCCACTCGTTCAGCAAAGTTTTTCACATTCCCTGGATGGTTCTCGGAGGGCGGTAGCAATTGCCCTCCTCAGATCATCCCAGACTTGCTTCACAGGGTTGAGGTCTGGAGATCTGGCTGGCTAATCTTACCGGCGAATATCCTCACTCTCTAGAAATTCGTCAACCAGAAGAGCTCTGAGTGGCCTCTCGTTATCTTCCATTAAAATGAACTCAGGGCCAACTGCACCGCTGAAAAATCAAACATGGGGCTTCAAGACCTCAACCCTATGCCTCAAACCAGTCACAGAGCCTCTTTCAAACACATGGAGACATCTAACATGATGCTTGCCCAAACCATTAAACCTGCCTGCCATTCGATTTCGCTGATATTGGAGGGTAGGTCCCTGGTTCTCTTCATATGAACGTACGGCGAGAATCGGTGTTTCGGCTGAACCGGGACTCATTATTAAAGAGGAAGGTCACTCATTGATCCATACTCCAATCTTTATGCTCTCTACACCATGCTAAACGGACTCTCCTGTTCATGGAAGTGAGCGGGACGCAAACAGCAGGTCTTTTTGCAAACAACCCTCTCTTATGAAGTCGTTTAGAAACAATCAGGGTTGGTTCCTGTGCCTGCACACAAGTCACGAGAGAGCTGAAAAGCTAAAGCTCCTCTGTTACTCCTCACTATAATGGACAAATGGCAATCTCTCTGGGTATCCTGGCTAATGAACGACCTTGCCCATGATTTCTCTCGATGGATCCGGTATCGTATAACTGTTTCCATAAGTTAGACAAGACGCTGGGAGTTAAATTGAACTCTCTACAAATCTGGACCTGAGATTCGTCTGCTTCTAGCCTCCCCGAAATTCGCCCCCTTCATCTAAACGTTGGTGGTTAATCAGTTTTACTGTTAGAATTTACTGTTAGAATTTACTGTTGAAAATTCAAACTATTGCTGAAAAATAAGATGGAAAGATTCGCCAAGGTGTGCTAGCGAATGAAATTAACTTACTCTCACTTATGTAGCCTGTTTCTCTACTGGGCTCCACTTACACACACGTGTACGCTTACGTATTTGATGTACAAGATTCGCATTTTTGTCTAGAAGCAGTGTTTTTACACTCAGTTTAGTTTTCTTCAGGAAATTCTACAAAGTATGCAAATTCTCTTAATTTATCCCACTAGTGTATTATAAAATAGCTATAAAAAGAATTTTTTGAGGATTTTAAATTTTCATTATAAGTATTTTTTTAAGTAAAATTAACATACCTACCTTAATTTAATGGATATTTTTTGTATAATATATCACAACTTTTAGACACAAAACAATCACATAGTTCATTAATTAATATACTAACAATATTTTATTTTCAACCCAAGAAATCACCAGGGGAGTATCACCGGGGGATTTAACAAGCTGTTATGTATTGATTATAAATTTTAAAGTACAACTTTAAATTAATATTTACGCGAGAGAGATAAACGACTTTGCAGAACAATCAATCTAATGAAGTCCTTAAGTACGGGTATTAGTAGTTTCCAGGGAAATGATAAATACAGTTAATGACATAATTTAAACGTTCTAACTTTGCCTTTAAATATAGGGCATACCTAACTTTAACTTAAGATATTGATACAAAAGAAAAGTCTTAAGATTATTTTTAACGCTTAGTAAGAAATAAAACAGAAGTTTCAAATTTAAAAAAAGTCTGTTTACATTTTTATTAAAAAAAATGAGTTTTTTTCTACCAGTTTTCTTTAATGTGTATAAATAAATTATCATCTCCCATTACTGAGAATGAAATGAGTTAAGGAAAAATATTTTTTAATTATATATTTTATAAATAAGCATAAATTTCTTGAATTTTGAATTGGAATTTTGAATTTTGAATTGATACAAATAAAAACCAAAAATAAATTTAAAAAATACCAAATAATTGCTACATTTTGTGAAGAAAATGGGATAATTGATTTTGAAACTAAAATCATAAATAATAACGTTACTAACAATATATTAGCCTCCTCAGGTAACCAGCTAAACCAGGTGCTTCTTAGGTAATCGCAAGTAAAAAACGAACTTTTCATTTCACGCCGGTCCATATTGTCTTCCGCCTTCAGAAGATCTTCGCTTCGCTGTTCCACATTGGCTCTGCTGCATTTGGCAGCATTTCTCTGAATTTATAGTATTGGTATTTTGAAAAAGAATTAAAGAAATGAGTTGAAAGTCGTGCATGGGCTCGTCTATTTATAGCTTCCTTTTTACATTTGCTTGCATGAATTTCGCAAGCCTCATGACTACATATTTTCCCTGTTGCCATCGAGAGCACTTTCGATTGGGTTGATACATTTATATGAAGCGAGAGTCGTGCTTGCTTTGTTTTAAAATTATTTTAATTTCTACATCAGTGTTTTTTGCTTTAATATTTACATCAAACAGTTGGGTTTTTAATTAGACCTATTCTCTGCATTTCTCTGAGACACATTTTCCACCTAAAAGTTCGAAATACCTTTAAATTCAATCTGGAAAATGGTGCAATAAAATCTGATGCGAATATTGCACCATTTTCAAGATTGAATTGAGTGGTATTTCAATCTTTCGAAAAAAAGAGCTCTAAAAGTACTAAATTTATAAGTTCTAAATTTATAAGACTCTTTTTAAGCCAAGTAATCATTAAATAATTTTTATACAAGATATTAATATGCATAATTTAAAAAATGGAAGCTTTATATTCTCCTCCAGGAAAAGTGGTACCATTTTTGGAACTCTCCATCCTCACAGGTTGTTGCTATCCTGGAAATAACTATATTATTCTTAATTTCAATCTAATAGTAAATAGAGGGCTCTGCTTCCTGCTCGCTGCAGCTCATCAACCCTCGATGATTGCTATGCAATCTCATATAATTTGTTTTGAAATTCATGCTTAGTAAAACACATTCAAAATATGTTCTGGTGTAAAATCTTAAGAATTTAAGAGAATTATTAATATATTTAAAACTAATTCCTCTTTGAGAAATTATAAGTTTTAATGAATAATAAGTAATTGAAATAAAACATTTTAAATAAAAAACTTGCAGAAACAATAATTATAGAACAATTACAATTACCATTAAGGATTCACGAATTTTAAAAACAAAATTATAAATTACAGAACTTAATCTCTGTAAAGCTGTCAATGAACCTAACTGTTAGAAAGTTAAGTATAATAAAAATAAATAGCATGGTATAGAAAAACTTGCAAATATTAAGCATTAATTGTGCCTTTAAAAAACAATTGCTTTTCTATGATGGAACACTTTGTTGATGGGAAATAATCGTTTTTATTCCTTCAATTCTTTTTAGCGTGTAGCTAATTTGCTTCAACTTTCCTTCGTACACGAGAAAAAAGAGTTTTTATTCAGAAGTTCGTTAAAAAAACTTTTTTAATATACTTAAATATTTTTTTAGTATTGCTATATTTATCTTCGTTAGCAAGTATTTGTTTTTATTAATTTTAGTGAGGTGATCTATATTTTGTTACCCAGTGAAGCGTACTAAACAGGGTGATTCCATAATGATATGGATGACTCTCAAAACTTTTGCTTCAAATTTTATGGTTAGGAAAGTCACATCTTGAGGATTTCGAATTGTAATGAAACCTATGATCAGAAATACCAGAGATAAGTGATAACAAAGAACATCGGAAAACACACTAAAGAGGGAGGAATTAAAAAATTTTATAGGACATCACGAGTCAAATAGTGTACCATATAAGTACAGTATAAAATGTTGCAACTCATGTTCGACGTATGACATAAAACCCGAAGTAGTACGTAAAGACCGAAGTAGTGAAAATTCCCGGATGTTGAATATTGATGTTAACTCTGTATTTGGTGCGAAGCGCCACCACCTGATTCATGTGTACTGCGTAGACATGCACTGAAAAGTCATGTAAAAAAACCTCCTTATATACTGAGTAGCGAGCCTCCTCGAAGCGGTGGACAAGTGTCGATCCCTGATAGACGAAAAGTTGAATGACCGTCATCCGGCGTCACGTTTATGTCAAGAGTTACAGCACTCTCGCCACTCCCTATCCATGCCGGTCGAAACGTAAACAAACATCCGTAGCGTAAGATGTTGAAATGAATTCAATATTCTATTGTACTGAACATAAAAATTTTTCACAGAAATATTACTTAGTATTAAATAATTGGGATTTACTTAGTATGGGGGTGGGACTTACATACTAATTGCCAACATGTAGAACAAGCACTTTAATTTTATCAAGCAGAACCCTTTTATTACAAAATAACTGTCATTGCCTTTTAACGTTTATTAAATATTTTATACCAAATCAGTTTGCTAATGGAGTGTTTCATTTCAGGTGCTGTAGTGACATCCTTTTTCATCTGTTGGTCACCATTCCATGCTCAGCGACTTCTTGCCATCTACTCCTCCACTGAACCTACACCCACCCTTGAGCTCACCTACACAATACTGACTTACATATCTGGCGTCACTTACTATTTGAGCGCAACGGTAAATCCTATCCTTTACCAACTTATGTCAGGCAAGTTCAGACAGGCTTTGAAAGACACATTTTATGCTTACTGTAAATGCTGTGGACCAAAAAATAACAGTGGGAGAGGAGCAGAAATGTCTTTTCATTGCGACAACTCAAGGTACAGAATCAGCTATCAGCAACAAAACAAAGAAACAGTCTCTAATTCTGTCAACTGGATGAATGATTCAATGAACAATCACAAAATACCTACATAAATCTTAAAACATGGCATCAAACTACTGTATGGTTTTTAATCAATGCTGATTATAAAACACAATCTCCAACAGAAATTCGTTATCAAACTTGTAACTACATGTGGATTCATCCAATGAAAGTACAACGTGTACAGAAAGTACAACGTGTAAAATATTATGATTTATGGGTCAATGATCTACAAATGTCACAAACGTTTCTTAGCGTAATCAGCATAATAAAAACACGATGCATCTCCTGGGAATATTGATATCTCATGACATACATGATATCTCTCAAATATGTACATTATTTTCGTTAAATCAAAATTTTCGTTGCCTTGTTATGAAACGGAAATTTTTCAGCCCCCATCATAATATGATTTCCGACATTAATATGATTTTGACAACACTGCTCATGCAATTATCGTATTTGATATTTATAGTTGTCGATAATTATCGCTGTATTGTCATAGTGATAAGTGTTATCCATAATACTTTTGTCGTTTTCTCGCTATTCGATAAGGATCGTGTAATAATTTGTTATCATCAATAACTATCACATATTCACCGTTCGTCGTAAAACAGAATTTTCTTTTACGATATATATGGTGTAAAAGCTTTAAAAAAAATATCGCTATCGTGGTTTATAGATGACGTCGATAATTCATGATGCATCCCTCAGTTATAGTGATGAAGTTGGTCTTGAAATTCTTTTCACTTTTTAATTGTGGTATATGCTGTTCAGTATGCCAAATCTATATATACTCTGTAAATTTATGCAAGAACCACATTTTCTCACAATGTGAAAGGGGAGTGTGTTTGTTAATGTAATCTAAATTGTAAAAGCGTGATATATTGATCCCTCCAACGTAAACTTATTAATTTCGGGGAGTTTTAATTTTGTAAAATTAGTGGAAAATTCGTAAATCCTCTAAGAGTAATTAAGTTAAGAGAACATCTAAAAAATGAGCAAACTTCTTAAAATCTCGCAGCAATTTCTTAACACTTAAACTAACATCAAATTATTATTCGATATATATATATATGCATTCGATATAAATGAAATAGAGGTTTTTGAAGGAAAATTTGAATTATAAACGAAGGAATATTGCAAAAAAAGAAATATTTTTGCAAGAGCAAAAGCTAAGATCTTTATCCAAGCTAGGTTTTTTTTAGATTTTTCAGTTTCGATTATAATGCGTTCGTGTAAAATTAATTTATAATATTTTCAGATGATAAAAGCAGCATCTTGCTGCCCTATGTCTATGTCGTAGCTATTAAGACCAAACTGAAAATCACTGGTATCTATTTATTTAAAAGAATTCCAAGGATTTATATATTGTGGTTATTTCAAAGTGTAAAAAGGAGCTTTTCTATTGATAACTTCTTGTACATTTAGCATCCGTGAAACCAAACAGGGTATTTTTACTGTAAATAGCAAGTTTCTCCGATTAAAATATCATCGTTCAAAAAGGATTATAAGAACAAAAATATAAGGAAGTTATACTAATTGTGGTGTAGTAGCCAAAGGAAACCTCAATTGTTACAAGGACTGAAGAATAAAGCAATAGTTTTGCTTTTATACAAATAAAAATGACCAAGATTCTTTTTTAATATTTAATTTGGTGAAATCTTCTTGGATTATATTGCGTCAACACATCTTTAATATTTGCTGTTCAAAGGTAAGCAAATTCTAAAAAAGATTAGTATTATTCACTTTCGAAAAACATTAAGCATAAGAAATAAAATCCATATGTTCTTTTTCTTGTATGCAAATTTAATTTATAAATATAAAACACCTTGTGAAGTACACATTTAGTAACACACATTTAGTAACAGCAGTTCTCATAGATGTTTTGTGAAAGAATGTTTTATGTAAAGTTGGTTGTTACTCGATTGTCTGTTATATGTATAGAAAAATGAATTTGTAGTCATGCCCTCACACTGTCCCTCGTGAGAAAAGTTTAGTGGTTTCATTTTAATTTTTACTTATCTTTAGCATTTAAATTAATATTTGTTTGACTCATTAGTGGATTTTATCTAAAAGTAAGGAATTTGTAAACGAAAACTAATTGATAGATCGTTCATGACTGAAAAATATCCTCAATCCTTGTACTATTTTGTCTATCTCGAAAAGAACGCAATTTCCTTAAATAAACTAGATAAACTGAAACATATTTATTGCGAAAACAATGCTCAATAAATAGTTTCTTTTAACACTGATCATCATTAAGCCATTTTTAATTCCATGAAATGTCTGAAACTTGTCTGAAAATGTTTATGGATACAATTTTTGTTTTAAAAAAAGGACATCGTTGTCAGGGACAGTCCATTATTTATATAATAATGTAATTTAATTATAATGAATTGTCTCAATCCACTGTTCTTGCAACAATCTAATATATAAATGTATGTGTAAGCACCACATTTCTTAAAATACTTAAATTATGTGTACAAATGTTAATAAATGTTATGTATGTGAATTTGTGATGAAGTGTTTGGAAATAAATGTTTTTGCAAAAAATTTGCCATTGTCATTTTTTTTTTCATTTTAATGTCAATTAGTTTTTTTCATTTTATAGGCTATTTACTTTACAAAAGTGAATTCATGTGCTTCAATCTAAATTGCAAGTTGATTTAAATATATATCAGAGGTCATATCCATAAAAACACCCATATCCATACTAAAATATCCATACCAAAATCCGATTTTCTCCTAAACAAAGTTTTAGTTTGTCAGGAAGTTCAAAAAAAAATTATAAAAAGGCACAACAATATAATAGCCAGTTTACTATAACCATCAAATCTATGGAGATTGAGAACTGTAGTTCTTATTAATCGACTACATTTAAACTATATTACTTATACAACTACAAAACTTTATATAGTTTCCCATTTTTAACCCTTAGCATTAAACTAATATGCATTAATTTAATAGGATTGAATTTGGTGATTAAATAGTAGGTTTTATGCTCTGATTATGCAATTACCAATAGTAAAAAAGTCATTATTCAAAAATACATAGAGAGAAAAAAAATCTAGTATAAATATTGTACTACATGGTAATGAGTATTCAAGTCGAAAAAATCATAATTTTGGTTAATAAAATCAAATATACGGTATTTAAGCCATCCATTTAGTAATTTTCCCGTTAATAAGGTAACTCTTTACTGAATACTCCGCTATTAAGGATTATAGCTTTTATTACCACACATTTAGTAACAACAAGTCTGAAAAGTATAGTTAACCGAATAAATTGCTTTTAAGCCATACTTCAAAATATAATCATGAAATTACCTAACTTTAGCTCATCTACCGAATTTTCGTATCACACTATAAAATCATATTTTATTTTTAATTTCGCCAAAATCATTACCAAAGCGGTAAGGTGTTCTCATAGAGGCTGAAACGCGACAAACTTTACTATATTCTGATAGTTATGACGCTAATTTTTTTGTTCAGTTTATACATTAGTGAGGGCAATAAGCATTACTAATATATAACTAATGTATAAAAAAATAATAAACTTAGTAATTTCTTGTGAAATACAATGTTTCAAGTGTTTGAGTTGAATAACGATTTCTATCTTACTAAAAATGGAGTGTTCTTATGAGTGTTTGTTTCGATATTTTTAATACAATATCACAATAATATCTACATTTTTTTATATTCTCGTATGGTGATCAAAATGTATATGTAAAAAGAAACAGTCACATAAATTTTATTTCGTAACAGCAATTGATGAATTCTATACTTACAAATAAGAAAAAACGATATTATTGCGTACTGGGCCATTGTATTACATTCATATAATAAACTCTACATTTCGCACTTAGCAAAAAAAGTTATGCGACGAGATTTTAACATAGCTATGAATTTTGAAAGAAGTTTTATTACAAAATTGTACATCTAAGATGAGAAAAAGCGTGCATTTTTACTTAGAGCGTAGAGCATACAAGCTAACTAATATTGTTAAGAAAGAGTTTCGAAAGAGTTTCGAAAGTTCAAGATTGATCATCTGAATGATGTTTGAGACAAGTACTTACTTTTTTTCTTTTACTTCCGAGAGAAGAGAGAAAACAATAAAGAGATCTAAAAAGAACTCACGAAGAGTGCAACACAAATAATAAACTCAATAAAAGTTAAATACTTTCTTTTAACTCAATTTTAAAAATAGAAACCATAGTAAAATTTCAGCAAGTCAAGAATTTAATAAGAAATTCCTTGATAATAATACGAGTTAAAGTGATTGCAAGCATTGAATGTATCATATATCCAGCCTGCAATTTTAAATTGAATTATACTTTTTACAAAATATATAAAGTCCAGTATCTCTAATTTTTATGCATACATTATATAGTGATAAAAAACTATGGTCATATATACCAAAATATGGCAAAATTTGCAGTATTTCCATCTCTCTAGGAACACCAAATAGTTTGGTAGCTTTTACCGAAGAGCATTGATAATGATTTTGATGAAATTAAAAAAATTATGGTCATATTATATATGATAGAATAGAATCTACGGTAAATTCGGAGGAATTCGAAAATTTTATTATGATACATTAGAGCATAGCATAAAAATCCTTTATTCTGTTACATTTTCTTTTCAGTGTAGTATTTTTTCCACTTGAGTATTTTTTGTAGTAGTTTAGTATTTTGCTTTCAGTTTGGTATTTTGTTTAGTAACAAAAATTATAATTTTGAAAAACAGAATTTTCTATGAGCCATTACCTTATAAACTGAAAAATTATCAAATAAATGGTTAAAATTTCCGCATATTTTGGTTTTTATTACCAATATTATGATTTTTTTTACCAGAAATGTGCTTTTATAGTACGGTAATCTTACCAGAATTGTTTTACTTTTACATATTCTACCGATACAAATTATATATATATGTTGAAAAATAAGTGATTTTTTTAAAATTTATTTACTCAGATTTTTGGTGCTTATTTCCCCACTTTACTTTTGATTCTACATTTTTTTTTTAAATTCTCAAAACTTGAACTATACAATATCCATTTTGAAGGTTTATTATTTTGAATCGAAAAAAAATTTAAAAATAAAGCAAAAACGTTTATAAAGGAAAAATTTTGTTTCTTTACAGTAAATATGTGAACCAATCTAATGAAAAGTAAATATTAATATTTATATTCTTCATTCATAAACTTCAAGGGATTGCCTTTTATGAAAAACATGTTAATGAGTTCCTTTGAACTGATCTAGTATTTATTTAATAAACTGACTTCAGAAAGAGGCATAGTATGAAATATGTATGCTATTTTTATTTCACATTTATTTTCCACAGGAGGAAAATAAAAAACAAATTTCTTTCTATTTTTTGTTGGAAAAAGTTTGAACGCGTGACTTTGTAGTTCAGTCTTGTTTGAATATAGAAGTCCGAAAAAATATTACTTACGCTGATTAATATATTTAAACTTTATGCTTTATTTTTCCGTCATTTATTTTATAAATACGACTTTTTATTTGCAAAATTAATCTTATGAAAATTTTAAAAATAAATAAAGCCATGCTTGGGTTTTAGCTTTAGTGAACTGTAGTAAGACTAGGAATATTAATATATGGAGATGGGGGTAAATGTAGCCTTTTTACTTAATTCAGTGCAACGTTATATATATATTAAAAAAAAATAATAAAAAAAAAAAAAATATTAGAAAAACATAGTTTTTAAAAACATGCGGATTAAATCATGGAATTACAGTTTAGAAAACGTAGAATGTTGTATTTGAAGAAAATGATAAAGCTAAATTTTTTTTAAAAAATACTGCATTATAAAAAAAAAATTAAGTACATACTTAATTACTACTATACATTCTTGGAATTTTCATTCTAAAATCATGGTAAAATATTCGGCAGCAGTCTTTCCATCGAATTTACCATGAAGTCCTAGGCTAAGATCATGTTTCACATTTAGTTTTGAAACCGCTTACAACTAGTATGGTTAATGATCCAAAAATACAAAACTATACGGTTTTTTAACCATTTACAACAAACATAGTTTCCAAACAGTATAAATGAAATGTATTTGGACGCTGGAGTTAGGTTATGTTAGGCAATGGACATTGGTGATAGATTGCTGTTGCGTTGTTAAATAAGCCCTAATATGTGGCTCATTTATTGTGTCTGGTGGTGCCATATACCATGAACGATAGGAAATATTAGATTTTTTTGTGTTAAGAAGTTTAATGGTGCTGCCATCTATGCGTAAATAAGAGTATTGTATTCTAATAATCTGGAGTCTCTAATTGGGGAGTGCAGGATGCTGGAAACTCTTCATACGTTGAAAAGAATGGAGGAAATGTTGTGGTGTCAATGCTGGGACTCGAATCGCCGTTCTGTCGGTCGCGATATTGATGTAGTATTAGCCCTTTTTGCTGTAATATATGCCCAGCTGCAGCGAACTAACTTCATTAGATGGCCTAGTTAATGCAATAAAATTCTGGTTGCTTAACTATATTAGTAAAAATGGTTAATAAATTGTTTTTCTCATGGTTAAGGGTTTGAGTACCATCTTATTTATAGTTATTTGACTGTTTTGCCTGAATATGGTAAAATAACAAATAAACAACTTGCTATTTAACCATATTTTCTGAGAAATTTCTAACAGTGCAGTTTTTCATTATGCATATTTTACAAAATAACTTATTCTCTTCTATTTAAAACTGTATACTTATGAAATTGATTAAATTAATTTTTAGCCTTTTCAATCATATTCAGCTGAACATGAATATTGTGAAATGGGCCATTTGATTGTGCTCGCTTGAGCAAGAGAGTATTTAGTAGTAAAAAACACAAAGTAACTTTATACTGTATAGTATTTTTTCATCTAAGGAAATATTAACTTTAATTCATAATATTGCTAGTTTGCAAGAACTACCTCACTACTAAAAAATTTCATTTTTCAGTATAACACGATAGAAGTTCGTTTATATTATAAAATCGGAGAACTGTGAAAGGTTAGTACAGCATCATATATATCTCTTTTATAATGCGCTTTAGTATTGTATTTTAGGGTACAAAATTGAAACGTGTCATAAAATATGACATGAAAAAAACGAAGAAGCAAAAAAAAAAAATGGATGGCTCATTGGAATCATAAAAAAAATGTATCTTTCGATATAAATTTAAGCTTACTACTTAGGTATGAAAAATCAGCTAGTAATACACTATGAGATTACTTATTAAATACTTTTAAAGGGAGTAGGTGTCATTATAACAGTAAAATAGAGCATTTTTTAGAAACACCAGGGAAATGTCCATCAGCTGTGACGTCAAAAATCCTCCAAGATAATCGATCAAATTTAAAAACAAATAAATAAAACGACTGCTATCCATGCAGATCAGGGGTGTCAAACTCGCGGCACTCTAAGCTATCAATTAGATAGTACATAATCAGGTTTATCCTATTATAGCGAGGTAAGTTGGTTATCTTGCTCCAAGGTTCTCAATCAATTCTGGGATTTGAAAGAAAAAATATGTAAGTTTT